TATGAATTAGTCACCCATGAAGCACACAGTCATGAACTGGCAAGTTTTATGTTTGTTTACAATACTTCTAGACCCCATGCTCACTCGTAGCAATGGTCACTCTAGGCAACTCTCCCTCTGCTGGTCCCTGATCTGTTCCTATTTATGGTTGCCCACAGTGGAATGAACAGGGTTAGAGAGAGAGGAGGAACGTAGTTGAGAAAATCAGAAATGAGACAGACACAAGATAAACATTTTGTAAGAAGGGCAACCAGAGGGAAGCTTCCCTTCTCTCGGCTAAGGGAAGTACAAGTTTTAAACGCTACGGGAACTCAGACACTCAAGCTGATAATGGAAGAATTAATAAATGACAGACTAATTATCCCTCTAGTTATTTCTTAATTCTATATTACTCTTATTACAATTGTCAAGAAATCCTGTAGACAGGAATAAAGATTTTGCAGGTCCTTAAAAACTGTAAATTAAATTACAATTCCAAAATTCCAGTGGTAGGTACAAATTAACCATTTTACTGGAAAAGATATCAACTGAGTGTGACTGGTTCACAGTGGAATAATACTTCTTTATTTGTGGGTTTTGGTTTTTTTTTTTTTTTTGCTTTTCTGTACAGAAAGCTTAATAATTGTTTTATTTAGAAAAACGCCAACAATATCATTAGATCGTGACGCTCTAGGAATGAACTGTGACTCCCTCATATTCTGCACAAGTTCTGATCGGGATTTCAACAAGTGCTATTTTCCATGGATGTTGCACTTCTTTGCTCATCATCGAAGGAGCAGTCAAAAAGAGACACAGTATTTGTTTTAACAAGGACTTACGCCAGGGCTGTAGGCCTGTAAAGATAAGCTTTGGTCCTCACAAGGCCTGGTACGTTATCTACATCATGGTTTATCTGCAAAAGCAGTCTTTCTGTCTTCAGAAAACAAAACAAAAAAAGAGCTACCCAAAATTATCCCAGGCCTGTAGCTAAAAGGCAGGTCAGAGGATTCTTGATTGTTCTGGAATATTGTTGGTGTTAGGTCCCTAATGTTCAAGATTTACTTTTTTTTTTTTTTTTAATATGCCCCACACTGAGAGAGGAGAGAAAGATCCTGTGTTTGCTGGTTCCCTCCTCAGATGGTTATGATTGCCAAGACTGAGCCAGGCAAACCCAGGAGCTTTCTCTGGATGTGTCACGTGGGTGATATGGACTCAAACACTTGGGTCAACTTCTACTGACTTTCTGAGAATATTAGTAGAGTTAGACCAAAACTGGAGCAAACAAGACATGAACTGGCACCCTTAATGTAAGCCATTGTTACAAATGGCAATCTTACCTGCTATGCCACATTGCTGGTCCCTTAGTTTTTCTTAACTAGTCTCTTCAGTTCATGCATTAATTAAAAATAGCATCCACAGATCCTCTCTTCGGTAAACAGACCCTGTGATTATTCTCCATGCTGTTTGTAAATGAACAATCAGCCTCTTGGAGTCATCAAAATCTTAGCTGACAGATCTGATCAAGTTCAGTGTGGCTAAATCATATCTGGTTAAATAGAGGCAGCCTGAAGACTCTGGCTTCGGAGTATTTTTCAAATTTTTGTTGCGGTTTCCTGTTCATCTTGTGATTTGTCTTCTCTCCGCAGCCCTTTGATGTTGGTCAGCAGTCACTGATTCATCAGATGATCTCCATGAGGGTTGAACACATCGAAGGCATGAGTCTGAATCACTGGGAAAACCTACTCAAGGCTATTTGGGCTCTCTGCATGACCATGAAAACAAGAAGAAGCGAGGTGTAACTAAAGCTAACGCTTAACAGCGCTCTGTTCAGCTAGACTGTGATCAAATGGGAGACAGAATGGTCATCATAAAAAAGGAGGCCACAGGTTGGCTATACCACTACAACAGCCAATCCACAGCCGGGTAATACTATCTAAAGTTATCATGGTTTTCCTCTATTGTTCCCATAAAGAACACTTAAGTTGGGGATAAGCATTTTGTCTAGGCATTGGGACTCTGATCAGGGTGCCCACATATCATGTCAGAATGTTTTAGGCTGGTTCTCAATTCTCTTGCTAATGCGCATTTCCAGAGGATGATGGCTCCACAGGTTTCAGTAAAATGGGGTGACCCACATTTGGTTTTGGGATCTTCGTGTTCACCACATTTTGGGAGTGAACCAGGCAATGGGAGTACTTTCTTTGCCTCTATATCTGCCTTTTAAACAAGTAAGCAAAAATTTTAAAAGAAATAGTATATAAATAAATAAATAAAAGCTTTTCTCGTCACATGAGAAAATTGAGCCAATCTGCCACAGCCAAGTAACTGCAGTCTGTTGCTCCTGCCCAAAAGGGAATGTTAAGCCTTTAAGAACCATTAACAATTCACAATGGAAATCTGAATGCTTCCTCATTGGTGTTTTAAAAGTTATGCTGTAGCTCTTGTGAACCACAGCTTGTGCATCTTACAACCTTTGAACTCCCCTAGTTCATTAACTGTTCTGTATGCACAACAAAATGTGTGTGTGTGTGTGTGTGTGTGTGTGTAACTTTCTTGGAATGATTTTATCTTCACAGAGCCCCCGGTGTAGTTTGGCCTTCTCAAAAATAGTCTGTGGGTCACGGTTCTTCACATCTGGCACCTGTCCTCCAAAGGGAAAGTGTTTTAAAGGCAGCAGAAGCTCACAGGGTGTTTTAAAGCCATACTCAGGTTCCAGCAGAAACCTAAGACTCAACCCTAGTCCAGGAGAGCAAGCATAAGAATTTCCTTCCCCTTCAGGATGCCTGCATACAAGGAACACATCAAAGCATTGATGGCCGCATGTAATTCTACGTGCAGGGAAAGGTCAGCTGGAAGCGAAAGGTCAGAAAAAGCTGTATGGGACAGACAGTAGACAAATGTTAGAAAGATTATGGAGATTTGAAAAAGTGGAAAGAGCACAAAAAAAAAAAAAACCATGAAACTTGAAATTGTGAAGGTTGTAGCAAGGCTTTCAAAATGCTTCGCGTGGCATTGCTTCTCGGCCTTTTGGCTAAGATCAAGTGTAGCATCGGAATGCTTGGTGAAACAAGAGTTAGAATTATCTTTCTTTCTCAATTAATATTGCCCCAACCAAAGTGGCAGTTAGAATTATCCTCAGTTTAGTAAGGTTCACAAATAGGCTATTTCAAGAGAAAAGATTATATCTATCTATCTATCTATTTATTTTTTATTTATTTGAAAGGCAAATTTTCAGAGAGAAGGAGAGACAAAGAGAAAGATCTTCCATCTTCTGGTTCACTCCCCTTACGGCCACAATGGCCAGAGCCTACCCAATCTGAAGCCTGGAGTCAGGAGCTTCTTTAAGTCTCCCATATTGGTACAGGCACATAACGACCATCCTCCCCTGCTTTCCCAGGCCAGAATCAGAGAGCTTCAAGGGAAGTGGAGCAGCTAGGGCCTGAACTGGTGCCTGTATGTGATGTTGGTGCTTGCAAGTGGAAGATTAGCTAGCTGAGCCGTCATGCCAGTCCCAAGAAGATTTTTCTTTAAATAAAAATCAGTTCGTGTCAATAAGCATGAACCATTAAGCTTAACCATTTCACAAGATGAGTTGGGAAATTTTGGTAAGAGTTCAGTGTGTTCTGAAAAAACATTGTTAAAATTCCTCAGGGTTATAAGGAAATGTTTGTAGTTGTTCCTATAATTACACGCAGGCTACCAAGACAAGAATATGGTTGAATCAGTATGCCCAGTAAAGACCCTAGAAGAGTCATAGTGCAGAAGTGTTAGTCCTTTGTTCAGAAAAGTTCTATTTTTCCACCTGTTATTTCCTGGCAAATAGTAGCCTTTCCTAGACTTGCAGGACACAGATCAATAGCTCTCTACCTTAATCATCTAGTGAGCTGCTTATTGTAAGTGGAGTCTATTTTGAGCACACTGACTGGCATTTTATGGATGCTCCACGTTGCTGATTAAATTGTATTTATAGTCTCTAATGTCATTTGAATAATCCAAAGCTTTGTCCCTATTAACTGGAAACAGGCATGTTTTGCTAATACATACTAATGGAAAATTAACCGTTCCTGTCGGGGCTTGGCATAGCTCTCTTATTAAGCAGTTTTATCTTCAACAGCTGTATTACCATTTACTGCATCCTTATATCCTGCTGAATCACCAGATATTATTGCTCTTTGATGCTGTATATGGAGTGGACCCCTCGTTGATTTTTCCAGTAGCACGATGGTGTTTAGTTCCATTTTGTGTTTTAAAATGGTCGGGAGCACAGCAAGGTCCATTTATTGCCTTGCTGGGTGCAGGACAGCATTGTCTGGAACCTGCTTTGTTAGTAGAGCTTGGCCTCTGCGTGCCGTTTACACAGTATCTCCTTACTGGAGCTCTTGTTTCTGGAGCTCTGGGTGGTGAGCAGAAACTACGAGGCCAAGCAAACAAAAGGAAACAAGGACGGACAAACTCTGGGACTTTGGGCTTCTGGAACCTTAATCTGGCCAGAGCCAGTCAAATCTTCAGGAATCAGAGGGGAGGATGTGTGTGATTGTCAGACAGAGCCAAGAGCCAGGCTCTAGGGCAGCTGTAGCCCGCCCTCCACCAGGGAAAACAATAAGCTTCCTTCACAAGAAGCTCAGAGGTGTCCGGTGTGCAGACAAGTGTCCTCTCCCTTATGTATCTCAGCAAAATAAACACACGCACCTACCTCAGACAAGCTGCGGGGGATGGAAGGGAGTGGGAGTGGGGTGCGGATGGGGAGCGGCGAGGGGGGGTTCAACCTCTCCCAGGGGAGATGGGCTTGACATCACCTGCCCCGCCCGCGTGGCGTCTTCAGCAAACTCTCTCCAACCTGCAAAAGCGAGCAGGGGCCACTGAGGATGCAGCGCCACTGGGGCCCCACAGCCGGCTCCGGGCTGCATTATTGATGGAGGGCCGGGCGCAGTGCTAGCTGAGCCAGCTCCGGGCGCAGTGAGAACATCTCGGGGGAGGAGGACAAGAAGCCGGGCCCCTCCCACTCCGCCTTTTCTCGCGTGTCCTGTCCCCGGGACTGGCAGCGGGCGCTGGGCCACTGGCGAGTGTGCGCCAGGATTCCAAACACAGGCGGTGAACCTCTCCCGGGAGCAGCCTTGACGAGAACCGCCGCTGACCTGCCTGTGCCATGCTGATCCTCCCTGGCCTTTGGGGGCCTCTGGAGCTCCGGGGTCCCCGGGAGCCCCGGCTGCCCCGGCTGCCCCGGCTGCACTTTCTCCTGTGTCTCCTTCTTGCAACACGCCCGAGCTCAGCAGACCCGGAACCTGCAGGTGTGAGGGGAACAGGGACCGGCTGGGGCGCGCGGGAGGCTCGGGCCCCCACGGGCATCCCTGTCCGGGGAGATGGGGAGAGGCACGGTGATGCAGGCGCAGGGTGCGGGTGGCGACGGTGACCTCCTATTGGCTGTGCTTGGGTTACCTCAGCTGAAAAGAGAACTGGGCGGCTCTGGCTCTTGCGCTCCTTGGGGTGACTGAACAAACTGTGTCCCACCAGTCGGGGGCGTAGAGAGTAAAGCAGGGTCTGATTTTTCCTAGGAAGAGCACGATGCGGGGGTGGCCAGCCAGCTACTTGGCTTCTGCTACTGTGGCTTGATTTCTCAGCCACATTCCCTAAGGCCAACTCCCTTCACTTGAATTCAGGGAAAGGCTCAAATAACACCTCTTTTCTTCCTGCAAACCAGGGAGTTAGTCCTGAGGCCTTGCCTTAGGGTGGGAAGGAATCAAAGCCCCTACACTTCACGGGATGCTGGGGATACCCTGTTTTTACACGGCAGTATTTGCTTCGGGGAAAATGCTTGCCTTTCTCACTTTCTCTTTCTTTGTTTCTCTTTGTCTTTCTCTCTCTCTCTCCCTCCCTCCCTCCTTCTTTTTCTCACCCTCCCTCCCTTCATCCTTCCTTCATTGTTTAAAATCTGAATCCACAGAGGGATGTATGTGCAAAACCTTACCGAGGGCAACAGCAAATCTGCCGTTTCAGCATCACCTTTATCACCTTTTTATGTTGACAATATTAGTACTCATTGATGATAACACCACAGACACCACCTTTCAGACTGCTAAAACATGAGCCACCAGTTACTAAAATCCAGATGTTATTCTATGCACGGCTTTCCACTTTTTATAGGAATTATTTTTGTGAGTGAATGGCATGTAGATATTTGCAACATAAAGATGGAACAGCAATCAAAGGATAAGAAGATGTGTTCTTGTAATAAAGCCCTTTCCGAGGCCTGGTTAACACTTTGTCCAAAACAGCTTGGCTTGCTTTGGTTTCTCAAGTTTCTCACCCTGTAGCACCTTTCCATTATTCCACTTCCAGAAAGTTGTTCTGAATATCTCTAAGTTTTCTATCCCTGATTCTTTGCTTCATGGTCTTACACTTTTGAGAACCAGTGCATTCTGGATTGGTCTTAGGACTGTGGTTTTCTAACTTGGCTATGTCAGAATCGCCAGAGAGCTTTAACAACTTGGGGATCCCAAGATGCTGTCCTCAGAAACATTTATTTCGCCCGGATTTCAGCCTAGACATTGGGTAGGTCAGGAATTCCCTCCTGTGATTCTAACTTAAGCAGATTGGAAACCACTACCTTGAAATGATAGGACAAAAGATTGCATGGTTAGGTAGATATGTGTTCTGTTGGCATCAACGTTAATATTCAAAATAGATTTTTGTTTTTGGAGAAATTAAATAGGAAACAAGTGGAAGTGAAATAAACGAAGATGTAAATATCGTAAATGAAAGAGGGCAGAGTGTGTGTGTGTGTGTGTGTGTGTGTGTGTGTGTCTAAGTCCTGTCTTTGTGCCTTAGCTAGAATTATGAAATGATGTGCCATCTGAAAGGTAAGAGTTAGTATTCTGATTTTAAGCCAGGGTTACAAATTGTCAGGCAAGCTGAGCTTATTTTCTTGATCCTGGACTGACTTCCCTGAGTTGTACTTTCCTGTTTGTTGAAGGGTACTGTAAGGCTGACTCAATGTTTTCTAGGTAGATGTTTTGAACTATGTGAAGATAAGTGTTCCATTAGCTTAAGCCTTTGGAGCAAATAGCAATAATAAACCGGTTAGGTTTTTATCATATGTAGTATGCAACAGCTAGACTCCAGGCACTGCATTCTTTAATTCTTAGCTCTGTGTGATTTTATTATTCCTGGCTTTCAGATGAGGAAACTGGGATTTAGCTTAAGTAATCGCCCAAGTGCACATATGTAGTTAAGTAGCAGAGCAGGAAATTTAGCAATGACTAATCTGATTCTAAAATCTGTTTTCCTAAACACAAAACATAAATGCAATATTCCATAGTCCGTCTAAGGTACCTAGGTATATCTGAAAAGTAGGAACCACTGATGGTGCAATGTGTGAGTTTAAATGTTTGATTTTAGCTGAAAGACATACTGATACTTGAGTCCTGGAATACAGTCAGGCACAGGCACCTACCCTCACTCTTTTAGGACCTTGCAACTAAATAAGAAATATAAAATGTCTCTGTAAAGGAGAAATATTATGTATTTGGGAATATTTATGCATCATCATTATCACTATCCCAGGGAACACACTGCAGCGATGGGTCATGTTTATATTTTCTAAAATGTCTGCAGTGAAGTCACGTGACGTTTTCTCATGTTAACTTGGTTATCTATCTCCAACTGGGCTCCCCTTAGGAGGCTCTAGGGCAGACATGGGAAAATGCTTTCTAAGGTGCAATTAGATATTTATAACATCATAACACTATCAACTTGAAGAACAGCATCCTGCTTTGGATTTGTTGACTTTTTAATCCTGCCTGTGGTTGTCTCAGCAGCGCCTAAACAAATCATGATATCAACCACAGATGGCCCAAGGGCCAGACATTCCTCACCCCTTTTCTAAGACATAGACACCTAAAATATCTTGTTTGGGGAGACACAATTTAATCTATAATGCACAGTATAAAATTTTACCTGATCTGATCCCTGCCTGAAGTCATATTTATCCATTCTCATGCCATTTTAGATATAATGACAATTATTGTTGTGCTGCTGCTGCTGCTTTCATTGTTTTCTCATTTTTTAAATTCACTTGAGAGGCAGGCACATACACAGGGAGAAAGAGAGCGAGAGAGAGAGAGAGAGAGAGAGAGAGAGAGAGAGAGAGAAAAGGTGAAAGAAATGAGAAAAATTGCTCCATCCTTGGTTCACTTTCCAAGTATCCTGCCTGGCCTCAACCACAGCTGGGAGCTGGGAACTCAATGTGGACACTTCTAGTGTGGGTGGGGGACCCTGGACCCTGGAATCATCACCACCAGCTCCAAGTATCTGCAGAATCAATAAGCTGGATTCAGGAGAGAGGTAAGTACTAAACCAGAGTACTCCCATGTGTTCTGTGGATATCTGAGTCAGCATCTTAACTACTGGGCTGAATGCCTGCCCGTCCCATTGCTGTCTTTTATTTTTTCACATAAGGAAGCGCATTTCTACCTCATTACCTTGCACATACTGTCTTCCTTGCCAATTTATGCCCTTAAAGGCATTTAAATCCTTTGAAGGCATTTAAGCCCTTAAAGGTATTTAATCTTCTTTGAAGATTATCTTGAAACCCACCTTAAACGGTGGTGTTTCCAAAACATCAAAATTTTGATCCTAGATCTATCATCATGACTAAAATAACATTATATAAACATTGGCTGAGATTTGGTTCAACTTAGTTTGTTCTTCCTCTTCTTGGTCATCGTCATTCTCTTCCGTCTCCCCGTTTCCTCTAATCTTTCCCTAGAAGTGGTCTTCTAAGCTGTTAGAAGGGCAAGAGACAGGAGGTATTTTCCCTTGGAGGTGGGTGGTGAAGCTGAATGAAATCAGGGTGTTGGAGGCTGAGCATGCAGACTCAGAGTTTGGTCCAGAGCAGAGTGCTAGGGCCAAGCAGTGGAGCCTGTGAAGGGGTGGCCCAGCACAGGTTCTCTGAGCTGAGACACGTGATTCAGGCTTCTCTGCTGTGTCCACCAGACCAGTGGTGTTTGAGTCTCAGTAAAGCATAAAGGCAGAGCATGCAAGAGGGACAGGCCAGTGCAGGAGCCTCCTCAGAGTGGGCAAAATGCAGCAGCAACAGTCGCTAAGTTCTATGCAGGAGAATGTATGGAATCAGCAGACCTTGTAAGGATGACAGGCTCTAGACTTTCCGCTACAGAAATAGTAAAATTAAAACACTGGGGAAAGCAAAATGTATCTTGTAATGCTGGAGCGCAGTTGGTATTGTATGTGTGAATTCGTGAGTTAATTTTCTTCTTTCCCTGTGTCTGCATGTATCTATATATCACTATATGGATGGACATGCATATATGTGTAATGCATGTGCATTTGACAAATAACGCATATTACATGCGCATCAATGACAATTATTACGTATATGTTGCATGTGTGTGGTTATGAAGATTTATGCATACTAGCTCTGTTCCTTCACGTGAAGCAGTGATTCCTGAGTAGCAATGAGAATTCTTGGCATCTATCACTGGGATTTTCAATTTAATAATTTCCTGTTAGTAAACTGAGATTCCTGGAGAAATGGTTGATTTCATGGCTGGGAAGTATCACATCCTTACGAATCTCTCCTTTCAGACAGCAATGAATTGCTTGAAGAATGATGGGAATGTCTGAAGGGTGCACTAGCCAGTGTGAAGGCATTCCCCCAGACATCTGGGACAAATTGAATCTCAGAATTAGTAATGGTACTGGTAGATGATCATCGTAACAATAATAGAATTTATGGGAACGTAACAATATAATTGTACTAATGGAAAGTCTAATGTAGCTGAAAATAGTACCTAGCTTTAAAGTCACTTTTCACAAAATTGTTAATAATGCAAAGGGGAAAAAAGAGTAATTTTTATGGTGGAGAAATGTGGCAGATACCATTTTAATCAAATTATCAAAGAATGAAAAAAATGTGTGCCATCAGATAGGATCCAGTGAGAACAGCACAGCACTGAATGTGTGACAGTCTTTCCAAAGGTGGTTGCTTCCAATCTAGTTATATTCTAATAAGACTCTTTTGGAATTTTTGTGTGAAGATCATGAAAATTAGACTGACAGCTGTTTCAGAGCAAGGGAGATTGGAGACATTGGCAGCTAGTGACAAGGGATGGTGAGCTGGAAATTTGGTTCACGTGGAGCGTGGGAATGAGATGATAGTTCCTATGTCATTTTCCTGATTTTAATAATAGTATTGGTATATGTATTTGTGTGATATTGGGGGAATGTCCTTCATGAGAAACAGCTCAGAGTATTTTAAAGGGTCATAGAATAT